ATCAGTGGAAGGAAAGATAATCCACAGGGAGTATTTATAGATGGGGGGAAAAGGGTCCTCTTAGTGGCTCCAATATACTTTATTCAGATCTCTGAACCATATTCAGAACTTTATTAGCAAACTGGCCCATTTCATTGCTTTCAGCCACATGTGCCACACCAGCCTGTCTCCATTGGAATGTCTGGCTAGGGTCCAGCACATCTGCAGGTAATACATTCTTCTGAATTCTCCACCCTGATGTGGAGGGGTCAATAGTGGCATGTAAACACATTTTAACATACATATCAGGATTGATGTAGCCCCAACTCCTTCACCTGGGACACTTGTTTAAAAGTGTTGTTTTTCTGGAGAATCACAGACCAGTCTAGATGGAATCACGTACAAATATCTCTTCCCAAGAGAAGTTACAAATAACTTATTTTACTTTTTTCCTCTCAAAACAACTCTTGAGTGCTGGGCTCATGAGAACCAAAAATTAGAGAGGCATCAACTAAATCTATAAAAATGTGGGCAGTATAATGGGCAAAACATAGAGGAGTTAAGGTGAACACACTGGAGGAAATAGGATTTTTCCTTTTCCCATACATTTCCTGAATCTAACCACAGAACTCCATTACCTTTCCCGTCCGTTCCTCAAAATTCTATAACTCCTTTAAAAATTTTAAATAATGGCCAGACCACAGTGGCTCACGTCTATAATCTTAGCACTCTGGGAGGCTGAGGGGGAGGATTGCTTGAAGTCAGGAGTTCAAGACCAGCTTGAGCAAGAGTGAGACCCTGTCTCTATTAAAAAATAGAAAAAATTAGCTGGGCAACTGAAAATAGAAACAAAAAATTAGCTGGGTGTGGTGGTGAGTGCCTGTAGTCCCAGCAACTCAAGGAGCTGAGGCATGAGGATTGCTTGAGCCCAGGAGTTTGAGGTTGCTGTGAGCTAGGCTGACGCCACGGCACTCTAGCCAGGGAAACAGAGTGAGACTCTGTCTCAAAAAAAAAAAAAAAAATTCTTTTCATAACTTCCAATCTCCTGGAAATTGGTGGAATATCTCTTATCTCTAGGAAAAAAAGGAAATAAAATAATACAGAATCAAAGAACACTAGATACAAGACACCTCAGCTCCCATTTCTCTCTTTTTTTTTTTTTTTTTTTTGAGACAGAGTCTCACTCTGTTGCCCTGGCTAGAGTGAGTGCCGTGGCGTCAGCCTAGCTCGCAGCAACCTCAAACTCCTGGGCTCAAGCGATCCTTCTGCCTCAGCCTCCCGAGTAGCTGGGACTACAGGCATGCGCCACCATGCCCAGCTAATTTTTTCTATATATTTTTAGTTGTCCGATTAATTTCTTTCTATTTTTAGTAGAGACGGGGTCTCGCTCTTGCTCAGGCTGGTTTCGAACTCCTGAGCTCAAACAATCCACCTGCCTCGGCCTCCCAGAGTACTAGGATTACAGGCGTGAGCCACCACGCCGGGCCTTGAAAAGAATTTTTGAATCATTAAATTTTTTGCTTATGGTAGGGAGAGAGAGAGAGAGAAGAAATGAGATTAGGTGATCCCTGAAACTCCTTATCCAGCATTTTCTAGGTACATAGTTTAGCCTGCTTGATCCTAGTATAATCTTCTGAATGTAACTAAGATGCTAGTTTTTAGAATTGCTCAATTCAGGGTTATATGATACCCAGAGGGATACACACTGGGAGACAGTAGAGTAATTAATTGTAATGGAGCTAATATCTATTGAGTGTTTACCAAGTGCCAGGCACTTTCCAAAGAGCTTTATATAGATTGCCTTATTTTATTTCACTGCAATCTTAGGAAGTAGATACCATTTATTTATTCCATTTTACAGATGAGAAAAGTAAGGTTCAGATATGTGAGGTAATTCTTCCAGTGTCATTCAGCTTGTGAGTGATGGGACTGGACCAGAACTTAGGTCTGATACAAAGATAATGAAGTAAGTATTATCTTCATTTTGTACACGAGTGAATGGAAGATGTTAAGTAACCTGGCCTAAAGTCACATAAATAGTAACTAACAGTGGTGTCAGAATTTGAAGTCAGGTCTGCTTCTTTCTAAAACCCATGGTTTTAACTATTTTAAAATCTAAGATATCATTGAGCATTAAGGAATGCAGAAGGAGAATACAAGCACATTACAATTATTATAATCCAGCAATCCCACTTTTGGATATATACCCAAACTGATCTGAAATCAGTTTGTCAAAGAGATGTCTGCACTTCCATGTTCATTGCAGCACCATTCACAATAGCTAAGTTATGAAGTCAACCTAAATGGCTGTCAACAGATGAATGAATAAAAAAATACATGCTAGCCGGGCGCAGTGGCTCACGCCTATAATCCTAGCACTCTGGGAGGCCCAGGCGGGCGGATTGTTTGAGCTCAGGAGTTCGAGACCAGCCTGAGCAAGAGCGAGACCCCG